AAAAATTAGCTACGGGTTCTGCCAAAGTGGTGTGAACTGGCTGAATCCCACCACTGCCTGTATCCTTCTGCTGTGACTGAAGAAGGAACTCTGTGTCAAATTGCAGAACTAAAGCTTGGTTTGACTCCTGTCATTCAGCTGTGCTAGAGAATTACCTTGAGCTATTTCTTTAAAATGTTTTGATTTGTTTTCATGCCAAGAAGACATGTTTAAAAAATAATTCAAAACCAGATTAATAAAGGGAGGGAAAGTCATTAGAAATAAAAAAGAGAGATAATTCTGCTAGAGATGTGACTGATGTCAGTATATCATATTTGGCTGACACGACTTAATTAGTTAGAAATACAGTCCTTTTTTTAAAGGAATACAGTCCTTTTGCAAGTGATTAAGCTTTTAAGCTTTTGACCTAAGCTAAGTATCCCAGATGTCAAGAATATTACTATAGTTCTTTGCTCATATTATTTTTATATAAAAATTGTAGAATTCTGAAAGATTTGAATTAAGATTCCACATTTTAAGGTTGATTATTCTGAAATGTGATTATTTTAAATCCTTAGATATCTAAGGATTGCCCATCATGTCCAAAAATGAATTGATTAGTTGATGGCATTCATAATGGGTGCATTTGTTATATTGTTATTCTCCTAAGTTTTATCCTTTATAAGCATATACTAGCTTTTCATCGTATTTTAAGACCACCAACATATGGAAATTATAAGATCCTGACTGAAGTAAATTAGGTTAGGGAAAGATGAAATATGTTATCTGAAATTATCACATTTGTAAACCCAAAGTTATATTTATTCCATTGGAACCTAAGGTTTGGGGAAGGAACAATGGTTTTTTTTTTGGTATTATTCTACTTGCACAAAACTTGATCAAGTCAGTCTCCTCAACTCTGCATGATTCTAGGATTTCACAAGAGGCTGCTAGGAGGACCACAAAAGATCATGATTGAAAAACTTAATGTACTGTACAATGCTAGTTACTTGCAGTGGTGAGAATTTGTATTCACCACAACTCAGCGACCAGACTTCCACATTGCTGTTGTCATAAACAATCTAAAATGTGGATTCTATAAGTTACTAGTAAGCTTCTCTTGAACTTTTCACATTTTTCCCATTTTTTTATACAGAGATTCCCTTAGACCTGAGAATTGTTTCAAGGATTTTTTTCCCCGGGTAAAAAAGAGGGACAAAGGCAGATGAAAGGGATCCTATCAATGTGAAAAGTTTATGAATGTAAAGCACACTCTGAGTTCCAGTGATCAGTGATTTATCTTGTATACAATGTGAATTTTGTTGATTAGTGATGGCATTCCTAGCAGGCATGATGAGATTATGCTGAACTCTTAGGCCAGGTGAGAGACTTCAAATCTACTACTAGATTTGAAGTGAACACACTGAATGGATACTGGGAAACCAAGCTGGGATGCTGCAGACAGCTAGAGAAATTAATAGCCAAAGAGGGACAGTGGACAGTCAGCATATAACTATAACATGTCACCCATAAAGTTTATTCAAATTCCTTCCTAAGCTATAGATTGACTGCCCCAATTCTGTACCATTTCTATGGCTTTGCTCAGTAGGATATATAATATAAACAGGACATACTTCCATAAGAATGAATTTATCATTGGTTTTGTTCAATATCTCACACAAGATCTATGAACGTGGTCCAGTCATGATTTCTCTTGTACTGTATTTATTTTATATATTATGAATCATTGTTCATCCTCCATAGAGTTCTAGAGACTCTCAGCAATAGTAGTTACATCTTAAAAGCTAAAACCAAAAGGAAAGCATAAATCAACAGTTAAAAATCACTCAGAGAGCATTTTAAGGCATTGTAAACAGCAATTGATAAAAATAGTACTGAGGGTTATATTTGTAGGGTCTTCTAAAAATAAGATGTTCACTGACTTATGGAAAGTGAGGAACTTTAGATTGGAAAAAGTGGAGATGCATGATCAGAAAGTACTTTTACTTTCTTTGAGGAAAGAAACAATTGTTACATTTTTCTTCTTCTCAGGCATGAGCAATCAAGCAAAGCTATATTGACATTATATGTAACACAGTGTCATCGGGCAAAGGGTGTGAATTATGCCACTTTTGCACAATGATGAAATGATGCTCCTCCAGTGGCTGTTCATGCTGCATGCACAAATACACACAGAGAGCTATATGAATGAATAAGATTTGTGTGTGTGTGTGTGCGTGTGTGCGTATTGTTTTATATACATTTATAGAGTGGTATGATGTCTCAAACAAACATCAAAATGCAGCGAGCATAGCATGTTTAAACTGATGTTCTTTGAAGCTGTCAGTTGCGCATTTTCAGGAAACAGCAATTCCCTTTGGAAAGGGAAATAGACTATTAACCTGTTTGTGACTTCTTGTGTTAATCTGCAGATGTGGTTTCTGTTCTTTCAAAAATGTACAGGATTAGTTTAGTCTTTTAGAAAATCATGCCAAAAGTACACTTTGGACAGCTCCTAAAGACAATTTTCCATTTGGCAAAAATGCTTCTCCCTCTTCATGTTTATAAAAATTGCTAACACCTCATAAATACAAAAAAAGCAGACCGATTTTCAGAAAGCTAGATGTGCCTATATCCAATGCAGCAAAACTTTTATTTACCTTCAGGCATAAGTGGGATGTTATTACTTTTGGGGTGGAAGGGCTACCTGAGTACCAAGGTAACAATTTAATACAAATGCAGATCTCATTATTCCTATTCCCTGGGGTTGATAGTAACCTTGAGAAGGGTGAGGGAATCACACTCCTAAATAAAACTTCAACCATGCTGAGGAGGATCAGTTACAGGATCCTCAATTTTCACCGAATAACATGAAACAGTTGTCATGGAAAGAAAATCAGATCTTATCAGCCAATCACAGAGGACCAATTCAGCAAATAGGCACACAAGAAATATTGGTGCTATTATACAGAATAAAATAATAATAATAATAAAGGCTTGGAAGGCTGACCATTTTTCCTTTTCCCTTCCTCTAATACCAAAGATGGGGCAATCATGTGACCATGACTTTCAATTTTACTTCCTTGTCCTTCATTAAGTCTGCTTGTTGGAAGCCAGTTGTGAAGAACACAAATGGGGATCACAGGATCATGGGATTTTCTACATCAGCATAAATTTGAAGTCATTAAATGAGGCAATCAGTAAGACACATTATTTTATTAAGGGTTATATTAACTTGTCATGTCCAAGCCAAGAGACAACACTGAGAATTTCAGTTGAGTCCAATCCTTTATTTGCTTGCACCTAATTGGCAGAATCTTGCCAGATTAAAGTTATAACCTTCTAAACTACTAAATATATTCTGAGAAATTCTAGGGCATGGCAACCCTGAACCTTTTTCTCTCTCCTCCCTCCAGTTTGGGACTATGTGGTTTCTTAATGTGGGCCTCTCTTTAGGAAAGCTCGAGTTGCCAAAATTCTCCCCCACTGCTCCCGCAGGTTCACAAAAACGCATTTAAAAAAGATGATAGCCTTATTAATCAGCAAAGATCCAATAAAACTGAATAAACATACTAAATAATCTAAGTATATAGGCCCTTTCCATTTAGTCTAAGCTCCCCTCATCCTTCTCTTAAAAATTACACATTAAAAAAATTAAAAACAATTACCAGAAGTAACCCCTTATTTAGATATCAAAAATATTATAAATAATCCACTATGCATTTGGCATTTCCAAAAGAAAAATTGTCCAATCCAGATAACAATTAAGCAGCTCAGAGCATGATGGAAACCAGGATTCACAAAAATCAGATGTTCACAGTACATCAATCTCCAGATCTCTCTTTTTTCCAGAGAGAATTTTGGTAATCCAGATCTCATCTAGCTATCTTTTGGGCCATAATGCCCCCAGGAAAAATGTGGGTGCTGGTTCTCCTTGCCTCACCAGAAAGTCATAGCAAACCAATCAGAAAGTCCTTGCGGATCAGGAAATCTAGTAAGAATGGATGGATCAGGAAATCTAGTAAGAGTGGGCAGATCAAAAAATCTAGTAAGAATGGGCCGATCAGGAAATCTAGTAAGAGTGGGCTCATCAGAAAATCTAGTTAAGAGTGGGCTCAGGTATTCTCTGTAAACCTCCCCTTCTATAGAACAGCTTATTCTTCTAGGGAAAAGTAGCCTCTTCCTTCTTTTGAAAACTTTAATGTTTTATACTATATAGTAGGCTGGGAGCAGTGATCTCCAAATCTTAGGGAACTGCGGTGCTCATCATTGACCATTTGCTGGAAGGTCAATTCAGTAACAACTGGGAAGACCAAAGTTTTTTCATACATTTCCAGACAACAACAGATCACAGCTGCCATTCCCCTTAGTTGGTGTCCTTAGAGAAGGCAGAAGTATCTCAACCTTAGCCAAGGCTTTTAAAACTTTTGTCTGATTTCTCAATTTGTATCATGTATCTTGCTAGGAAAATTTGATGTCCAGAACAATTCTGCTTGTTATGTGAAAAGAAAAGCCATGATAGACAAGGTACTAATTTCCCAAAGTTGGGGACGGTAGCATTTGAGAGATGGGGTGGGGTGGGGGTTTGCAGCAATGTATGTTTGGTTGTTTTTATTTAACTGCCTTTCAATTCTTCCAAAGGGTGGGGAAAAATGATGCCACTACTAAAATACAGTTTGTATTTTGTGTATCTATCCACATCTATGTACGTATGTACATGTCAATTAAACAGAAAGATTTTCTTTGTTCTGCTCTCTTTCTTGTCCTCTTTACAACGGCAGGAGAACTCCGTTCTTCTGCAGAAGAACTGCAAAATCTTTGGGGCCCTAGCTACCCTGGCCGAGGCCATGAAATAACACCTTTGTTACAAAAGTAACAAAGGTGATGTGAGACATTCTCTTCATGCCCTTCCACCTGGTATTCCAGGCCAGAATATTACTTTCTATATTACAGTGTTCCAAAGTTTTCCAAAGATAGCTGCACCTTTGATTTGTCAATTAAGAAGAAGGAAATAATCTTCATGATTTGGTAAAATATATTTTATTTCTTCAAATAATATGAATCAGAATTCCATTTTCCTAGAAACCTCTGTGTAAAATTAATTTGTGTTGTACATACCACAAAATACTCAATTTACAGTTTTTGCTTGTCATTTGTTTCCTTTTACAAGTGTACCATTCTAAACCACAACATGTTATAGCAAACTCAAAAATATTGCTAATATCAGGACATACTGCAGTGCTGAATGGAACTCAGCCATAAATTAATGTTATACGGTGAAAAGACATGTAACCAGATTCCAAGTCTTGCAAATGGAACAAAAATTGGCAATATTTATGAAGGCTACTATCTATGCAGTTCAAATATCATATGATATATGCCTCTCATGGCTACTTTATTTAATATTTAGGTAAGGCCTCTTCAATAAATTGGCTTCAGAAGGTTTCCATTGAGTGGGCTGATCAGCCACAATTAGCAGTTCGATATTATAACAGTGAATTAATGGCAATGTCATCACTCAAACAACACTCACACACAGAAAACAAGGTATATGGATACCATACCTGTTATGCTTTATGCAACTAGGAAAGTATCTTTAACCCATTCCAAAAAGAGATAAGAAAGTCCAAGCATACACTCAGCAGTTCCATCCCCCCAAAAGCAAAATATTTTGAAAGAGAAAACATAAGACCTAGAAATTAAAATTCACTCCAATGTTCCAGAACAAAGGATGCTACTTGGATTGACCATATGAAAAAGTTATCTGTTTATCAAATACATATCAGAGTTAAATGGAAGTATATTTTGGTAGCCATATATGCTGCATCATCCAATGAGAAGATGATCCAAATGTCTTTCCTCTTATAATCTGCATTCTGTCAGAAGATATAGTAAATTCCTCAAGACCAGGAAGCCCAATGTAAAGGATGAATATTTACAGAAAAATCTATGCCCTTACCCAGTGTCTACAGGTGTATTTGCATATGCATTGGTGTGGGTATCCATGCATTCCTCTGAAGTATCCCTCAGATTAATTTTGTCATTGATTAATTCACTATATCCAATCAAGATAATACAAGTGATAATCCCACCCAATCTGATTCACATTTGTCTTGGGAACTTTAAGAAATTATTTTGACTCTTCTATAATGTACCTCTAGAGAACAAAACTTCTGATGGAGCAAGCAATGACAAATCCTCTCAATCCGCAATGGATTTTGTCTCACAGATGGGGCCACCCTGAAGAAACTCACTCTTGGCACTTAACACAGGACAATGCTGTTGGAAGGGTTTGTAGAGTTGTTTATGAAGTTTGGATAAACTACTTTTCTGAATATCCATCTCTTTCAGCAAGCTTGTAAAATTTTCACTCACCTCTGATGTATACCATTTAGTAAATTTATTAAACTGAATTAATTTCAAATGGTATTGCGTTTTTGTGTTTATATTTAAACTATTTTTGGGAGGAAAGGAAGCCCCATAAAAACAGGCCAAGGCCTTGTTAAATATAGCAATGAGCTAAAGGCATAAGCTTGTTTCATGGGATAGGACACCACTTGCAGGATGATCAGTCATTGTGAGAAGTCTAAGAATCAAAGTGGAATTCAGAAGACAAACAGAGGCTTCACACTCTACTTCTGTAACAGCAGCCTGAAACTAAGCTTGAAAGAATTAAATACTATGTCATTTCCAGTCTCCCAAGTAAGCACTTCACATTTCTTCAGCAGGGAGAAGTTAAAACTGGGCAAAATTTCCATTGTTCCCCATCCCAAGAGTGAAAGATCAGATAAGCTGTACATAATCATAATGAAAGTCTACTGTGTTGCAAAAGTTTTGTGGAAAGGGAGAATGCTGAGATCTGATTAATAAAAATAGGGAACAGAGGCAGCAATAACTCCATAGCTGTAGAGTGTTTCCTTCTGTGCATACGCCACACCCAACCATGAAAACAACTGCCTCAGGTTTAATTTTTTTTTTTTTTACTTCCGGAGCTACTTCCAACTCAACAAAAATACAAATATCTGTGGATTGACCTAGGAAGGAAAAAAGCCCAGATATGCAATATGAATGGCTTGTACAAAATTGTTTTGACATGCCTAGTACCCGTATCGGAAAAAAAAGATTAATAATAATTATAATAATAAAGATTGTGCTTTTCTCATTGCCTCTTAACTATCATTCACCACCACCACCCCTTTTTTTATTTTTAACATTAAAAGTTCTCCTGGGAAAATACCTGGAAGCACTTTTGAGCACACGCTGAAGCCAGGCAATGAAGAACCTGGCTGGACTCAGCCCGGTGGAATGTCCAAAATAAACAAGAACACAGCTATGAGCTACAGTGGGGTTAGGCAGCTTAGTGAATTAATTGCTTAAGAATTAAAAAATAAATTATTATAAAATAGATTTCTGTACATTTTACATATAGACCTATCTACATGTATAGGGGGAAAGGAAGCTGAAAGATAGCATCAACTCTGGGAAGTGCCGTCAATCCCAGCCAAAGTCGTGGCCAGTCATCTGGTAAAACTTCATGTTGAACGGCCGATAGAATTCTCGCAGCCTTTGTACTACTTTCTGGTCAATATTGGGGTGGGTCCGTCCTTTCGTCTTGCCCAGGCAGTGGGGCTTGCTGCTGCCTTCCGCCTTTTTCAGGCATGGGAACCCCTTGGTTTTGTTGAAGTAGAAATGTTTGTCTGTGATGATCCTCTTGAGGCCTAGAAAGTCCTGGACACGGCCCAACTCACCTGCTGGATCACTGATTAGTCTCTCCCCACTGACAAAAAGGATTTGCCCAAGTGGGAAGTACAGGAGCCAATTTTCTAGATGCTTGGCATAAATGCCAATCTGGATGGCACTCCAGGAGGTATCGATCAAACCCGTAGTCCTGTTTTTGAAGGTCAAGCTCTCAAAGGATGGGATGTCTGGCTTCTTGGAAAGGGTTTGTGTGTAGTCAGAAATGGCTCGGGTGACCGGGTCCCTCACCACCACAATGAGCTTGGTGTCCTTTGACATCGAGGAGATTCGAGCTGGTGCTTCCTTAGTGACAAAGTAGCTGGGCGTCTTCTCCATGGTGATCTGGCCATCGAGAGTTCTTGGCATCAGTTCCCTGCAAAGAAAGAAAGAAATTAGCAGACTGATGAGAAAAATAAGGGCCTTGCTTCAAAAGTTTGTTCCTTTGTTTTTAACTATCCCTGCTCCTGGCAGTTTAGCCAATTCTTGCTACTGACCATTTGGCAAATTCACTCAGAGCCCCAAAGACAAAATATATCCAAACCTACCTGAAAGATTCAAACTGATGAAAATATTTGATTAATTTGAAATATACCAGAAAGTTGGGAAGGGAAATATACGTAAGCCAAACATGTTAAAAATGAACGATTTAAGAATTACATTGGCAAATGGGATATTAGATCTCACAGTGCTAATAAATGCAACATCTGACAGAAAGTTCCACTTAGGGAGGGTGGGATACGGATGGGTCTTTTCTCTTTCTGTCCCATTTTTTTCTGCCTTATATCTGCCCCACTATTACTTTACTCTTGTCCTCTATATCAAGAATAGTAAAACATTGTATGGATTAGACATTGTTCACCAAAAAAACACAAATGCATACACAAACATTAATTTCTCTACGCTATTTATTACTAATAGCTACACTTTTATTATTTTACTGAATTTTATTAAATATTGCCTTGCATTCCATGTAGAGAACTCAAGATTCATGAGCAGATTAAAAATACAATTAAGTTTTCAATATTGTTGACCACTAGTCAAATACCTTGTTCTTTTCTCCCCTTTCAAATAGAAAAGATTAAATGGGCCAAATGACATGACCTAACTGTAGGATGAAATTTCCCTCTGGCATTCCAAATTTCTTACACAAAGGAAAGGATAATAAGGAGTAACCAAACAGCTGACTTATCACATCTAGAAATTTACAGCCATTGTCATGGTTCTAATCAGTCTTTCCTGCTGTGTTGCTATCCAGAAGTCTAGGTTTCAACATTCAAGTTCAGAAGCCTACAATATGGGTACCGTATTTTCCGGCGTATAAGACGACCCCCGACTTTGGAGAAGATTTGCATGGTTAGAAAGTCATCTTATACGCCGGAAAATACGGTATTTTCTGGTGTATAAGACGACTCGGCGTATAAGACGACCCCCGACTTCGGAGAAGATTTGCATGGTCGCCAAAAAATACAGTACCAATTTTTTGAGTTGCTTTCAGTATTACTTTGTATAAAGGAAGAGGCTTCTACACATAATCTTAAAATTTGAAGAGGCTAATTATAGTTCTTAACCAAGCAATTGGCAAAATCATTAATTTTTAAGCAAATAATTAACTGTGAATTGAAAAAGGAGATCTCTGTTTGCAAAGAAGCATAAACTAAGGATGCTGTTGAAATCAAATGGAGAACTGGAGTTGCAAAGGATTGCAGACATCACTGCTGAGTCTGGAGGCCTTTGGAGATTAGTTTTGGGAGGAGCTGCCTCCCTACTGAATTTTAATCATTTTTCTAAGGACTAAACAGGAGTTTTCTCTCTCTCAACAACCAAGACACAAGCAGCTGAGCTAAACAACAAAACCACTGACATTTCTGCAATTTGTACTGGAAGGAATGAAATACATGTGTCTGCATTAATGTGTTTCTCTCTGTACATGAATAGAGAGTGGCTGGTATGTGCTTTGTTTTTGTTCTTATGTGCTTTTGCATCAGTGTTGACTCCTGGTGACTGCCTGGACAAGTCCCTGCAGTATTCCTAGCAATGTTTCAGAAGGGGTTTGCCTTTGCTTTCTTTTTAGGGCAGAGAAAAATGGCCTGAGGTCACTCAGCTGGCTTTGTGCCTAAGGCAGGACTAGAATTCATGGTTTCCTTCTTTCTAGCCTGCTGCCTTAATAACCACTACACAAAACTGGCTTTCAATTAGCCACTACAATGGATTCTCAATGTTGTAGCAAGAGCTTTGCACAATGGCACAGAAATTGTGTGTGCCTGGGACATGCACACAAAAGAAAAAGCACCTACATACAATAGCCAGGTAGTAATAGCAACAGTGTCTGACTCACCCTGGTTAATTTCAGAAGCTGAGCAAGACTGAGCTGGTTAGGATTTGGATAGGAGATGACCAGGAAATCCCAGAGTTGTATTGAGATGTTTTAATATTATTTATTATTTTTACAGGAAATTAATCATAGTTGAAAATGTTTTTATTGTTGTTGTTCTGATTCTACTCTTTGTGGCTTCAGGGATGGATGGATGGGTAGATAGGCAGGAAAAAACAGACACAAATACATGTTTGTGTGTGTGTGTTTGTGTATGTATGGTGTGTGTGTATGGATATATACACAGATGTCACTTACACTTTTATTGAGAAAAAATAAATGTTCAGAATTAGTTTCAGCTGAGTTGCCTTTTTGGGAGTAACACGGTGCAGAAGTAAGATAATAAATACACAAGATTTTTTTTTCTGTTTGTATATATATATACATGCATATACACAGATTCTGTCTATTCTTTCTTTGGGGGATTTTGGTCAAATCTTCCCTGAACTGGGGACATCCAAATGTCAATCGCTGTCAGGCATCATGTTTTAGGATGAGATAAGCAAGTCTAGGCCCACAAGCAGCTCTCAGCCTCATTGTATATACCTTCAGAATTCCAAAATCTGCACTCTTGCAAAAATGGTAGGATGTTGCTAAGTTAGCTTATGTGAAAGTTAAGGACAGGATGGGAGGGAGGAAGGAAGGAAGGAAGGAAGGAAGGAAGGAAGGAAGGAAGGAAGGAAGGAAGGAAGGAAGGAAGGAAGACCAAAATGAAGCAGAATACTGAGCCTCACTCAACTTGGTTCTGGTTTCTGATACTTAATTCAATTCTATTTATATAATTGGCATGTGTCAATCCTGCAATATATTGTCATCTCTAATTTTGCTAGATGATCAGCTGGATCAGACTTTTTTCAAATTTGGTATAAATGTGTGGCCATAAAAAACAGAAGCAACAAAGAAGATCTAAGGCTAACTGGCCAATATTTTGGCAGGAGAAGCAAGACTATCCTACAGATCCAATGGAACCGCCTCAGATAGTAACAGGCTATGTGGTTTAAGATTTCCTCCACAAGATGCTGGCATGGGTGCAGCAATGTACTTATCCTGCCAAAGAATTAATCTGTTTTGCTCATTAGCTACTTAGTCTTCATAACTTAAGTATTCTGCTCAGACAGTTCTAATCTCCAGAGGTCTTTGGTTTAAACATACAAAAACCTTGAGTGGAGGAAACAAGTTCTTCAAGAAAAATATCACCTTGTTGTGATGTGAGGAAGAGTTCAGAGATGATAAGGCAGATGACAGGTGGCCATGTGGTAATCCAATCACAGAAAGCCTAATACCTCTTGTGACAGTGTTCTGTCTGCCCAGAGGGATCCTCCTCTAATCTGTTGACATTTCTCAATAAAGAAAATTGAGCGGGAAGGACTTTGTTAAGAAAGAAGGCACTGGATGAGGAGAAGTGCTCTATATGCTGTGACTATGTCAAGCTTACAACAATAAGATGGCACATATTGACAGCTACACTCCTGAGCTTCTACTGCAGCTCCTAAAACTGTGGCAAGTGGGTTGCAGAGACAATCCACGTTGATGGACTTTCTTACAGAAAATCCAGGATAGATGGAAACACATCAACAGCAGACAAAGAACAGGATAAAAGAAGATCTGATATAAATGCATGAGTCATTTTCTATTTTCTTATTTTTTTAAAGAAATGGCTAACAGAAGATATGGCCACTTGTTTGTCTGAGAAATCCACCAATCTTATTTTCCTTCTGAGGTTTCTCAAATATTAGTCAACCATTGGGTAATCCACTGTCGCCTTATTTAGTTTCACAGTGAAGGAAATGATAGGAGCTTCTCCACTGAAGGAATAAAATGAGGAATAAGATGCAGGGCCTACAGCTGTGGAAGGGGCAAAAGTTTCATCACTGACTCCCAAGCTAGAGGAACGCAAACATATTTCGAAACTGAAATGTTCTAACCCCAATAGGTTGTCCAACCTGTTCCAAGGTCAAACCATTTCCAGAACATGCAGAAAGTTTTGCTCCTTTGCTTATCTTTGAAATGTTTTCAACATCTATTCCCAGCAGCAGTGAATTAAAGTGCCATCAGCTGCTTCTTAGATATAATGGAAGGTTTCCAGTTATCCCAAAAATACAAGGAGCATATTGAAGTGGGGTCAGAAAACTATCCAAAAATAATTTTAAGAAGCAGTCTTGAAAATCAATTGACACAGTGGTCATAAAGAAATTCTTGGAAGAAGGTTGGCAGTCCATGTTGATGAAATCACATATTATAAAGGGAAGAAGGAATGGCCTTGAGGGACAGGAGGAAATGTGCCTTCCAAGACAAAGGTCAGAAAAAAGAGAACTGAGTCTGGGGCAGGAATGTATCTTGAGTAAACAACTCAACAAAACTTTCCCTAGTTCACTTGGAAGATAAAGGTAGGGAGAGATGAAGTACATTCAGACTTGCAAGATTCTGTTACTATAACTTTACAATAAAATTAGTGCTGATCAGCATAATGTTGGATTCCTACTCTGATCTACCTTGCAGGGATATCCAGTCTTGCTGATTTCTTGAAAGTATCTTCAACTAGGAGATTCCTGATGCCGGCTAAGTAATTTTCCTAGTCTTATATCCATGGGAGGAGAAAACAAAAATATCTGAACACAGTGAATCAATCAGCAAGACTATGGATATCCCTGCAAGGTAGATCAGAGTAGGAATCCAACATTATGCTGATCAGCACTAATTTTATTGTAAAGTTGGGGAAGCCACAGAAACAGATTGTAAAGTCAGTGTGTGGCGTCTCTAACAACGCTTTGAGCTCTAAGCACATAGCACTTATAAGCAGCATCCTGAATACCAGGAAGCAAGCTTCTTATGATCTTCTGGGCTGTCCTTACCAATCTTTGTATGGACTTTCTATCTGAGGCACTGCTACCACCAAACCAGACAGTGATGCAGTTTGTTAAAATGCTCTCAATCATGCCTTGGATGCAGACGCTGGTTTGCATGCTTCACTAAGGATGAGGTGAGGAGAGACCAATTCAGAT